GGTATGCATGTGAACTTGGATGACACGCCCCCATTGAGAGTGGCACATTGCCAGTCTTATAAGGTGCATCATAAATACATCAAGCTGACACTTACTGGTACATAATAACATAAGAATACAGGCACATATTAACACAAATAAAGACATATACTAAAACACATACAAGCACATGACAACGCACATACAGACATATATTAAACTAAACCTGCCAACCAACCCAGCTGGCCTTCCAGGACCAATATGGGAAAGAAAGAGATGAGAGATTGTATAATGGGGCTCACCCGTCAGAGGGTGGCCAGGCTGACTGACAGCCTCCAGCAGACCATGCACAGATCACTGCTGAACTGCTTTGTGCATGGTCTTAGAGCTCTGTACTAATATTTACCTATCACCAGATCCCACCCAAGAAAGACAGACACCAATTTTGGATGAAAACAGGTCACAACATGTATTAAATATATAACAAATACTGTATCATTTTCTTTATAAATGTATAAATAATTCTTAATAACTTAACACATAAATTAACACAGTGTCATACAGAAACAAACTTTCATTAAAGGGACACTATAGTCACCAGAACTACAGCTTATTGAATTTGTTCTAGTGAGTAGAATCATTACCTTCAGGCTTTTTGCTGTAAACGCTATATTTTCAGAGAAAAAGCAGTGTTTACATTACAGCTTAGTGATAACTTCACTGGCCACTCCTAAGATGTCTGTTAGAGATCCTTTCTGGGTCATTGCTGCCTAAAATGCATCAAAATTTTCAGTGTCTACTGCCTCTGCATGCAGACAATGAACTTTCCTCATAGAGATACATTGATTCAATTCATCTCTAAAAGGAAATGCTGATTGGCCCAGTCTGTGTTTGAATCATGCTGGCTCTGCCCCTGATCTGCCTCTTTGTCAGTCTCAGCCAATCCTATGGAGAAGCACTGTGATTGGAACAGGCTACCACTTCTGATGATGTCAACAGACTGCTTGTTTTTCTTAGTCAAGGAGCATGCAGAGTTACAGCTTTAGGCTTGAATACAGTAAGATTTTGCTATATTTATGGAGGCATGAGGGGGCAAGATGGTGGTTTTAACACTATAGGGTCAGGAATTCAAATATATAAAAAATGGTACAACTATATTATAATTAATCAATATGATTACAATTAAAATTAAAAAAGGGGCAGCATAAGAACACCAGCAAGCGACTGAATTGAGTAATTAACTCACGATAAACAAAAGGTGTGTGCGCTCCCAAAAAAATTATCACAAACTAGAAAATTAAGTATAAAAGTATAAATCTTTTAATAAACATCAAAAAATAAAATAATTCAGAGGCTCTTTCACAACCTGATGATTATACCCTAAAAACACACAAAGTAACAAAGTATAAAAACAATAAACTAAATTAAATACTCAGCATAGTATCCATATGCAACAAAGTTGCTAGATATATTTAGCTTTGAATATGTCAATAAATCATATACAAATGCATCAATAATATGGATAATGTGCCAAAAGAAACAAATACAGCAAAAAATATATAAATATATCAAATAATATAAAACAAATTAATAATAAAAAATAACAATAAATAAGTAAATAGTACCTGACCTCGGTGTGGGCCCCCACCAGAGGTAGAAATAAAATCCAAATCAGGGATAACCAAAAAAAGGAGACCCCCAGATGACACCAAATAGCTTAGTAAAAAGCAGGAGCAAATGCACTGTATTACCGCTGTCGGAATATTCCAAAAAGACCGCGGTATTAATTAAACACAGGTGAAAAAAGCTGTGCAAAACAATTTGCTGCCCAGAATGAATTAACCTTTTGTTGAAACGCCACGGTCGAGATCTTCGCAAAAGACCGCGGCAATCAGCCAGAAGAGATAGGGTACCAGATGGGGTACAGAGCTGGAGACAAGGAAACAGCCAAAGGAGGTATGTATGTAGATCTACGCATTTCGTTTCACTTCTGAAACTTTATCAAAGCTCTGTACCCCATCTGGCACCCTGTCTCTTCTGGCTGATTGCCGCAGTCTTTTGCGAAGATCTCGACCGTGGCGTTTCAACGAAAGGTTCATTCATTCTGGGCAGCAAATTCTTTTGCACAGCTTTTTCACCTGTGTTTAATTAATACCGCTGTCTTTTTCGAAGATTCCGATTGCGGTAATACAGTGCATTTGCTCCTGCTTTTTACTAAGCTATTTGGTGTCATCTGGGGGTCTCCTTTTTATGGTTATCCCCGATTTGGATTTTATTTCTACCTCTGGTGGGGGCCCACACCGAGGTCAGGTACTATTTACTTATTTATTTGTTTATATTTTGTATTATTAATTTGTTTTATATTATTTGATATATTTCTATATTTTTTGCTGTATTTGTTTCTTTTGGCACATTATCCATATTATTGATGCATTTGTATATGATTTATTGACATATTCAAAACTAAATATATCTAGCAACTTTGTTACATATGGATACTATGCTGGGTATTTAATTTAGTTTATTGTTTTTATACTTTGTTGTTACTTTGTGTGTTTTTAGGGTACAACCATCAGGGAGGTTGTGAAACAGCCTCTGAATTATTTTATTTTATTTTTTGATGTTTATTAAAAGATTTATACTTTTATACTTAAGTTTTTAGTTTGTGATAATTTTTTTAGGGTCAGGAATACATGTTTGTGTTCCTGACCCTATAGTGATCCTTTAACGTCCTTGATAAACTAACACCTGCCCTTAAGTCCACCAAAACTGCCTTTACATTCAAAATGCCAACCACAAGCCAACTTTTAGCTCAGTGGGCACATCCAGTTTGGTAACTCCCCTGTTTACCACAGGGGAGGCTGAGAGCTCACCCTTGTCCACTACATCTTTTCAACCTGTTTGGCAAGGACACTCCCCCCACCTGCCGTGACAAAGTAACCACTACAACCAAGAAAGGGAGCGAGGGAAGATGTTGCTGGCACAGCTAACTAAGTGGCACAAATTTAAGGTATCCTATTGCACACACATGCCCAATATACTCCAACCCAATCAATCACAGGCATCCATACCCACACTCATACATGTGCCCTTCTCCACTAAGGTGCGCTATTTCCCTTGGGTCTGTACAGTTGGCACCTCTGTAATAACACACATACAGGAACATACAAACACAAACAGAGCCATATACTAAGATGCATAGAAGCATTTGGCAACACATACAAATGCATATTAAAACACATCTGGGTGCATACTAACAGAAATGAAAAACTAAAAATAACACACTTACCAAGACATGGTAACATTCACACAGGCACATACAAACACACATATAGATAGATACAAATGCACATACATGCAGATTCTAACACAAATATCGACAGATATAATATATATATATATATATATATATATGTATATATATATGTATATATGTATATATATGTATATATGTATATATATGTATATATGTATATATATATATATATATATATATATATATATATATATATATATAATAGGTTATGGTGGGGAAAAATTGTGATTGAAAACCCCTTCCACCTGAAGTATGTGGATAGTTAATACAATGCTAAACAAAAATCTGCACACCAGTCAAGCCATAAGACTTGCTTTTCCCACAGAAATCCCAAATCAGCAGTGATGTTACAACCGCAAAGGATTCTGGGTGGGCATATGCAAATTAGTTTAACAAAGAATCACATTTTTGCCTCATTCCATTTTAAACATGGATTCCTTTTAATTTGTGTTTGCAGTATACAACTGCTTGGAACACAATTTAGGACAAGATGCAAAACCAGTGAACCACTCATGGACAGCTGTTTCGTTGTTAATGCAACTCTGTGGGAAAAGCAAGTCTTATGGCTTGACTGGTGTGCAGATTTTTGTTTAGCATTGTATTAACTATATATATATATATGTGTGTGTGTATATATATGCATACTAACAGACAAGAAAAAAAAAACATGTGGTCAATATGATTGTTCCATATAACTGTGGAGAGGACAAAATCCTTCTCTCTTGTTCAAACATCATTCTGTAGATGGGGACATGCCTAATAAGTGACTGAGATATGCTATGGTACAATTGTTAATATCCTGCATCCTGAGCAGTGGAATGGATTATTACAAGCAAAGATGGATAAAGATTCTAGAGTCCCAGACACCAGTTTTGAGGCACTTTTTATTCTACAAGTAAAAATGGAAAATGAGGCCAAGCAAATTCATGTTTTCTGGGTCCGTGAGCCTTATCAGTTACTTTATGGTAATTCTGCTGTAATTACAAGAATCAGAATAAGCAGTCTGTAGAATGGCAGGGAACCATTAGATAATAGAACAGAAGGTTTCCCATTGATGCCTATGAGAAAATTGCTTTTGAATTGCCGTAAATATTCTGAAGTCTTGTAATAGAATCTATAGACCTGTATTTGAGAATGCCATTATCCCATGCAGATTTTAGTTTGGAAATAAACATTTCTCTAGAGTTGCACAGCATAGCCAAATATGTTGAAAATTTATAGCTAATAATAATAGAAGTAATGTGAACATTGTATTTAATTTCACACCATTAATGAGAGTGGGAAATCTGATAGAGGTGTAGGCGAGGCTGGGAAACAGTCTGTCTGTCAGTTGAACCTCCAGTGTACTGGCCATGTCCTTAGGGTTACATAACAAGTGTGTGTGTTAGCTTGTAAGACTATTGTCATTACTTCAACTCTGTAGGGACCTTTAATTGCAGCAGTTGCAGTACTTTCGCTCAATTTACTGACAGAATGCCAATTTCAAACAAGAACTAATTCATCAATGGCTACAGTTCTAAATGGAATGTATTTGCTGTCATGTACAGGTCTACGAATGGAGTGTTTTTGATGCAGCTCTGCTTGCCCCCGCAGATAACATATGCAAAATGGACATATTTGTACTGACCAGAACTGTCTGCATGGCCTTTTCTAGATGATTAGTTGATAGATGCATGGTACGTTACCTTTTTAATCATATAGCTTACTTTTTTTGTCTTACAATTGGTACTAGAATATAAGATTATCCTTGCTTTAGTGTATTTATAATCTTCATTTTAGTAATGACAGAAGGTGAATATTTGATTAAGTTCCTTTACAAGCTCCAATAACAGCAAAGAAAAAAAATAGATAACAAGTAATCAATAAGAACTAATCAGAACCAAGGAATTTGTATATAAGGAGAGGAAACATTAATCACCTCCTCTTTCTTAATGCCAAAGTCAAGCAAAACATAAAATATAATAACATATATATAACAAGTATGAAGAACAGGATTCCACCGAATGTCAAACTTCTATCAGGAAGAGGGTCTTGATACTTTGGTCCTCAAATGGTGTTATTCTGAACGAAAAGAGAATATATGTGAAAGATAATTATATATACAATTATGGGAAAAGGAAAGTACACCCTCTTTGAATTGTTTGGTTTTACATATCAGGACATAATAACAATCGTTTGTTCATTTACATGTCTTAAATTGGGTAAATACAACCTAAGATGAACAACAACACATGACATATGACACCATGTCTTGATTTATTTAACAAAAATAAAGCCAAAATGGAGAAACTATGTGTTAACTATGTGTTAAAATGACTACCGTATATACTCGTGTATAAGTCGATCTCATGTATAAGTCGAGTGCAGTTTTGTGACCAACAATTGTGAAATATACTATGCCTCGTGGATAAGTCGAGGGTAAAACTTGGGACTATGAAATTCTGTGATTTTTTATAATTATATACACACACTCATACAAACACACACTCTGCATTATATACACACACACTCATACAAACACACACTCTGCATTATACACACACACACACACACACACTCTGCATTATACACACACACATTCATACACACACTCTGCATTATACACACACACACACACACACATTCATACACACACTCTGCATTATACACACATACATTCCTACACACACTCTGCATTATATACACACACTCATACACAGACTCTGCATTATACACACACACACACTCATACAAACAATCTGCATTATACACACACACACATACACACACATACACACACTCTGCATTATACACACACACACATTCATACACACACTCTGCATTATACACACACACACATTCATACACACACTCTGCATTATACACACACACTCATACAAACACACACTCTGTATTATACACACACTCATACACACAGTCTGCATTATAAACACACACATTCATACACACACTCTGCATTATACACACACACGCACTCTGCATTATACACACACACACACTCATACAAACAATCTGCATTATACACACACACTCATACAAAAACACACTCTGCATTATATACACACACACTCATACAAACACACACACTGCATTATATACACACACACTCATACAAACACACACTCTGCATTATACACACACACACACTCTGCATTATACACACACACTCATACAAACAATCTGCATTATACACACACACTCATACAAAAACACACTCTGCATTATATACACACACACTCATACAAACACACACTCTGCATTATATACGCACACACTCATACAAACACACACTCATACAAACACACACAGAGTGTGTTTGTTTGTGTGAATGCAGAGTGTGTGTGTGTGTGTATATAATGCAGAGCCTGTGTTTGTATGAGTGTGTGTGTGTATAAAATGTAGAATGTGTGTTTGTATGAGTGTGTATATAATGCAGTGCGTGTGTATATAATGCAGAGTGTGTGTTTGTATGAGTGTGTTTGTGTGTGAACTGGGTGGGGGTGGGCATTTTTATTATTTGTAATTTTTTAATTTTAATATATTATTTTTTTACTTTAGTATTATTTTTTATTTTATTATTTACTTTTTTAATTTTAATATTTAATTTTTTTATTGTAATATTTTTTTTTTTATTATTTAATTTTATTTTCATCCCCCCTCCCTGCTTTTTAGCTGGCCAGGGAGGGGGGCTCTCATTCCCTGGTGGTCCAGTGGATGGGCTGTGTAGGAGGGGGGCTGGCAGAGAGCTGTTACTTACCTTTCCTGCAGCTCCCTTCTCCTCTGGTCCGGTCAGCTCCACTGTAAGTCTCGCGAGAGCAACGGGATACCGTGGCAACGCTCCGCGCGGCAGTCACACCGCGAGACTTACAGTGGAGGAGAAGGGAGCTGACCGGAGCTCAGGAGAAGGGAGCTGACAGGAGCTGCAGGAAAGGTAAGTAACAGCTCTCTGCCAGCCCCCAACAGGACTGCCGGGCTTATAATGAGCCTGGCGGTCCTGGTCTGTATTATGGCAATGTAAGTTGCCATAATACTTCACAATCAACTCAGTGAAGACTGCATTTACCATCCTGCAGAAACACCCATCACTCTCAGGCCTCACTTCACAATCAACTCAGTGAAGACTGCATTTACCATCCTGCAGAAACACCCATCACTCTCAGGCCTCACTTCACAATCAACTCAGTGAAGACTGCATTTACCATCCTGCAGAAACACCCTTCACTCTCAGGCCTCACTTCACAATCAACTCCGTGAAGACTGCATTTACCATCCTGCAGAAACACCCATCACTCTCAGGCCTCACTTCACAATAAACTCAGTGAAGACTGCATTTACCATCCTGCAGAAACACCCATCACTCTCAGGTAATGACTGAAGCTTGGAAGATACTCCACCTCCCGTATTACTGGATTGCTACAAAATTCTCATGTGTTACTATAGAGTTGTTACAATTGATACCTGTAGTTTGCCACTGTAATGTTATGTGCATGCAGTGTGTACCACTGTCATTTAATGTTTGTGACCAATATTTCATGTAGACAGTTATTAATATTTTGGGTGATAGAATTTGATTGCTAAACTTTTCAATAGTCTATAACACATGCCTACTTTGCCCCCCACCCCCCCTCTCTCCCTCCCCCCTTCTCCTTCTCTCCTTTTCCCCTCCCCAGTCGTAAATACCTTCATTGACTGTTCTATCTCTATTCCTCAGGCCTCACTTCACAATCAACTCAGTGAAGACTGCATTTTTTCCTCCCCACTTCCCGCCCACCCATGCTCCCCTTAAATATATAGCATGCTCCTCCAGCTGTTCGAGATTCTCACCCAATTACCTGTTCATTCCCCTAACATCTTACCAATAGCTGCTTCTCTGTTAACTCTTTCAGCCATCACCTCCAAACTTCCCCTGCTACCTTTTGTCTCAAATCCCCCCTGGTATCCTTTAGATTGTAAGCTCAAGGGCCATCTAGCTAAGCACTTTGTATAAAAGAGCTCCAATGGCTAGATATCAGCTTACGGGCAGGGCTCTCTTACCTCTTGTATTTGTTTGAGAATATTGTACGTTTCTCAACTAATTGTACAGCGCTGCGGAATCTGTGTGCGCTTTATAAATTGCAATAATAAATAAATAAATAATAATACAGACACTGACTCGAGTATAAGTCAAGTGGGGGTTTTTTGTAGGAAATTTGCATTCCGTGAGATATTTGTTTTCCAGTTTTCTGAACAAATCGAATCAGAGTGTCTTGCAGTTAAAACCGTATATTTATTACAATATACACATCATCCGGTAACAACAAAAGTCTGTTTTAAAATCATATGGACCAATAGACAATGTATATTCACTTCTAGATCTTATCCAAGCTTGATGTTAAAAGGTATTGGTCGTTGGTGTTACTATTGGTATTGGTGAAATATTCTAGCTGCAAAAGGTATTTTATACATTTAAAATTCAATTACATAGGGCGTATACATAATGACATAAGGTTTGCCTGCTTTACAATAATTGGTTGTCTAAGAAAAAATAGGTGGTAACTTAGTATTATTCGATATCTATGATTAAAGCCATACGTTATGATGTTTTGGTAAGTTACACACAAAGACCTTCTTGAGACTTCTAATTACATGATGGAATGAATGATTGCCTATAGAAATGTGAACCTTCACAGGAATTCAGGCTTACAAGGCTAGGTCAAAGGTTATTATCAACAGGGTCCACAAGTCTCCATCCATCATTCTTGACTTAAAACCATATGTGTGTAAATTACAGTATGTGTATAAATTACATTATGATAGTAATCTATCTGGGTAGGCCTCTCGATGTCTGGATATGCTTAAATTAATAACTTACAATATTTCTACATTCCTACAACACGTTGAATACATTTAAAGTTCATAAAAATATTTTTCAGTTTTCAACACAAATAATGTGCTGAAAAACTAGACTAATACTTGAGTATATATGGTAATTCAATCTTTGAAGATAAAGTTCAAAGGCACCCATGGGCAATGCAGCCAGAAGCAAACAAGACATAGGAGTGGAGCAATATAAAAGTTTCTAAAACTGTAAAATTGTTTATGCTGCCAGAATAGCTGGTTCATCCCACACTATACCACATGTGGTACTATGGCCAGGGCCAGATTAAGAGCCCAGTTGGCCTGGT